CTCAGCCTTCCAAGTAACCAGAATTACAGGCATGTGCTACCACGCCCGGCTGATGTTTTGATTTATTGTAGAGATGAGGTCTCACTGCCCAGGCGGGTCTCAAACCCGCGGGCTCAGGCAATCCACTCACCTCAGCCTCCCAAAGGTGCGGGATTACAGGCTGAGCCACCGAGCCCGGCTAAAAAATAGCATATTTCAAAAGTAGTATCAGTAGAGTAGGAGAAGTGATTGAGTTAAAAAAAAATATTGACAGTCTTCACAAGGATAAATAGAGCTGCTACAAAGTAGCCCAGAGCATTCAAAGTATTTTATAACAAAAATTCTTTTATTGACAGATGAAAATCTCTTGCAACCACCAACAAATGGATCCTCAGCAATTTTCTTCTATAGGGCTTTCAGGAAAGAGAAAGAATCAGAAGATAAACCACAGATTATCAAGGCAATAATATAAAGTTAAAGAATTTCTGTCAAGGTACAGTTTATTGTTTTAAATAAATTCATTATGACCTGGACTCCAATATCTTGAAACTAAACTATCCTGTCTGAGTTAATTTATTCTTTGGATGCAGTCTACATTGTTTTCAGGGGCAGCCACTAAGTCATTACCAACATTGCTAATTTCATCTTTACCAACTTTTTAGACTATGTGTTTCTAATATATATTGATAATATGTATTGCATAGAGTAATTATGACAGATGCATATGACACTTTGTAGAAACTCAGTTTATCACAGAAGAAATTCATGATATTATGCAGTCAATAGAATCAATACTGCATACTAAATAAATTTATATGTGTAAATATATTTATATATACATACATACACATAAAAACACATATGTTGCTTGCTCTTTGTAGAGGCAAACATAAGGAATATTGGAGGCACTTTCAGGTCCAAACAGGATGAAAGTTAGGAAGGTGTTAAAAGCCTATGATGAGGACACTCTTCTAGAACTTGTCTTTAAAAATAAATCTGTCAGACACAGTGGCTCATGCCTGTAATCCCAGAGCTTTGGGAGACTGACACAAAAGGATCACTTATGTTTCAAGACCAACCTGAGAAACATAGTGAGATCTGTCTCCCTCCCCAAAAAATAAAATTAATTTTTTTTTAAAAGGGCCAGGCTGGGTAGCTCACTCCTGTAATCCCAGCACTGTGGGAGGTTAAGGCAAGAGGATTGTCTGAGCCCAGGAGTTTGAGATAAGCCTGGGCAACTTGGCAAGACCTCATCATGACAGTAAAAAACAGCATATTTCAAAAGTTGTATCAGTAGAATAGAAGAAGTGATTGAGTTAAAAAAAAATATTGACAGTCTTCACAAGGATAAATAGAGCTGCTACAAAGTAGCCCAGAACATCCAAAGTATTTTATAACAAGAATTCTTTTATTGACACGTGAAAATCTCTTAGTAACCACCAACAAATGGTTTCTCAGCAATTTTCTTCTATAGGGCTTTCAGGAAAAAGAAAGAATCAGAAGAAAAACCACAGATTATCAAGGTAATAATATAAAGTTAAATAATTAGCTGGGCATGGTGGCGCTTGCCTGTACTTCCAGATACTTGGAAGGCTGAAGTGGAAGAATTGCCTGAGCCCAGAAGACTGAAGCTGTGGTAGCCATGAGTGTGTGACTGCACTCCAGCCTGCACAACAGAGTGAGATTTCGACAAGGATGGATGGAAGAAATGAAGGAAGGAGGGAGGGAGGGAGGGAAGGAGGGAAGGAAGGAAAGAAGGAAGGAGGGAAGGAAGGAAGGAAGGAAAGAAGGAAGGAAGGAAGGAAGGAAGGAAGGAAGGAAGGAAGGGATGAAAAGTGTGGACTCACTCCAGGCCCCACTCCCCTAAGGACCTGCTTCCAACTTCCTGCCTGGGTCTCCATGAGTCCTCACAACTACAAGATGGACAAGGAAGCAAGAAGGATAATACCACCACAGAGGTGGAGAAGGTGCCCAAGCATTCATGGGAGAAGAAGACCTTGAAGCTCTGATAACTCATTCCCAGATACTAGAGGCTCGAAAGATTCAGACTGTAGAAACATAATGTTCCTCACCTTCACCAAGGTTAAATGTATCCTTATGGGCTCATCCTGAGACTGATGAATTGATCCGGGACTAAAGTCAAAATTCTCAATCCCTCTCCAAGGCTCTGTATAGTGGCCTCAAGGTGACAGACATCTATGTGTTTTTGCAGGGGAGCTTGCTTCTCCTGGTGGACAGCAGTTCTACCACTACAAGAATCTCTGGCTCCTGCATGTGGCCATCAAGACCTGGGAGCAATCAACAGTGGCTCCTTGATTGAACATGGTGGCTTCCAGCACTTTGGGAGGTGGAGGTGAAAGGATTGCCTGAACCCAGGGTTCAAGACTAGCCTGGGCCAACTTGGTGAGACCTTTTCTCTACAATAAATCAAAAAATTATCAAGGCATGTTGTGTGCTCTTATAGTTCTAGCTACTTGGAAGGAGTGCCTGAGTCCTGCTAGTCAAGGAGGTGGAGAGCATGGGTGACAAAATGAGACTGCGACTCAAAACAAACAAACAAACAACAACAACAAAAACAGTGACTCCTTTAGGTCAGAGATGGTAGCCTGGAAGATACAGCTTCATAAGAGTATTGGGTTTAAACTGGTTACTCAATTCTAGGGTGGCATTTTACAATTGTCTCAAAATCTATTAAGAATACATTTCTAAAGCCTTGGATTAATATTTGTGCACCTACTGAGATTTAAATAATCACATAAACTTAAGTTAATCTAAGTTCTCTGCTTACTGTAGCTTTTGTTTCCCAAATATATTATGTATTAGATATACAGTATAACAAATAATTAAATATAGAAATATATATAATATATATTGATTATAAATATATATAAGATGTATTTTATATATTTTTTAACAAAGAATTAGGAATTCCTAGAACTATATAGTAAGGTGTTGACAAAAATATAACCAAATAGATCATATTTTATTGAACATAAATGACCATATTTTCATGTTAGTTTCTACATGTTCACTTGTAATAAATATATTTAGACTCATTTTTCCCCCAATAACTCAAGCTTAAGTAGGTAGATTCTTCCTGTCACTAACTTCAAACGAGGAAGATTAGAACAGAGAGTTTTTACTAGTGCGTCTACACAAAGGAGTAGTAAGCAGACAACAAGGAAACAAGGAAAGTCTCCAAATATACTAAGTAAAAGAAAGAATGTCTCCAAAATAAAATACATGAAAAAAATCAAAGTGCAGAACAGTGTGAACAGCTGCCTTTCCTGTAATGTCATGAAAATTGAATAAGTTGTTTCTAAAATGTATTTGGAAATGCAAATGGTCAAGATAGTCAAGGCAATCTCAAATTAGAACAAAACTAAAATAATAATGATATCATGACCTATTATAAAGCTAAAATAACTAAGAGCAATATTACTAGCACAAAGGTGGATACATAGGTAAAAAAGAGAGTGTCCAGAAGTAGACACACACATATGCAGTCACAGGATTCATGACAATAGTGTCACTCCAGGGCAATGAGGAAAGAATGGCTGTTTCAATAAATGGGGCTGAGTTAATACTTATATGGGGTGGGGGGGATTCCTCCCATTAGACTGAAAAAACTAAGTGTGAAAGGGAAAACAGGGCAAAGATGTTGGGAGAAAACATAAGAGAACACCTTCATGTCCCTAAGGTACGAAAATAGTTCTTAAAAGAACACAAAGACTAGCTGTAAAGGGGGAAAAAATGGATAAATTGAGCCCTATTAAGGTTCATCCCTGGGTCCTTTTGACTTCTTATTTTATTGAGAAACCTCTATTTCTCAAAAAAAAAAACAACAAAAAAACCGTTCAGGATGAGAAAAGGCCAGCCACAGAACGGAAGAAATGATATGCAATTAATATATCCAACATAGGTCCTGCATGCCAAAAATGTAAAGAACTCATATAAATTAGTAAGAAAAAGATTCAATACAATGGGAAATGAGTAAAGAATTTTCTTTTTGTGAATGATAGACACTTCTCAAAAGCTGTTATGCAAATAGTCAGTAAACATACAAAAGAATGCTCAATTAATTAGTTATCACGGAAATGCAAAGTATAACCCCAATGTGATACACCACTACACAAGTACTAGAGTTGGTATAATTAAAAAGACATTAAGTATCAAATGTTGGGGAGAATGCGTAACAAATAAAATTTTGATATTAATACTTTACTGATAAGAGTATAAATTGATATAATCACTTTGAAAAGTTGTTTAGCTTTCCTATAATCTAGCAAATCCACTCCTGAATATTCACTCAGCAGAAATGTTTACATTTGTCCTCCAAATTACAAGTCTAAGAATGTCAAAATGGATACCATAAATTATAGAATAGATAAAAAATTATTTTATATTCACATAAAGGTATACTATAAACCAATGAAAATGAATGAACTGTTGCTATATACACTGCATGAATGATTCTTACAAATAATATTCAGCCAAAGGAACTAGCTAGAAACATATACTGATGACTCCATTCACTGAGAGTTTAAACACTGGTATACTAATGCTTGGTGTTAGAAGTCAAAAGTGGTTATCCTAAAAGGGCAAGAATGAGGGAGGTGGGACGAGCAAGAGGTAAAGAGAGGGTCTTCCGGGTTCTGCTAATATTTCTTAATCTGCTCTCATAGATCTATTCATTTTGCAAAAATCCACTGAGTTATACACTTAGGATGTGGCCACTTCTCTATATGCATTTTATATGTCAATTTAAAACTTTCACAAGAAAAATAAGTTAACATAGAAACCAAATCGAAGGTGCCTTTATTGATTAAGGATGGGTCAATGGGAACATCAGAAAGGATAAAGTCAGCAACTTATTAAAACACATCAAATACATAAACATCCAGGAATTTATCACCAAAATAGAAAAAAAAAGGATTGGTTACCTTTGGAGATAGTTAAGGCACCAACTCATTATTGACAAAACTGGTAAAATAAAGATAAATAATCAAGCATTATCCTGCAATTCTTGTATGAATCCTATTTCAGGCTAATCAAATAGTGTGAGAATATTCTCCTTAGTTGAAGAATTCCAAATAATAAATGCAAAAGAATAACAGAACTTGAAAGTCACCATTTTTCAACCTTTAATAAAATAATGGTGTGTGTCTGCAGATACAGTACGAAGCACACATTATTCCCTAAATGAACCTAAAAAAATCTGGTCTCTAACGCTAAATGTCAGTTTATAGGAAATAGAGGGACTAGAACACATTAATGAATCCCAAGGGTGTAATCAGCCCTATTCAGCATGTGGAAAATTTACAGGACAAATGACCTAATTTCTTTAAAAACAAAAATTTTGAAATGCCATAGGAAAAAAGGTAAGAGGCCTGACTACTACCGATTGAAACTAAAGAACTATCAACCATGTCAATTTGTAGATCTTGATTCAAATAAAACAATATTAAAAGATATGTTTAGATAATTCAGAAGCTTTAACATAGAATGGATATTAGATATTATTAAAATATTAGATGTCATTAAAATACTATTGTTAATATTTTGTAGCTATATTTTTAAAAAGTCATTTATCTGCTAGAGACATTGTTGAATTATTTACAAATGAAATTATATCATGCCTGGTATTTTTTGTTTTTTGTTTTTTAATGTGGGGTACAATTCAGGGTAAGGTATACAAGTGATCATTATGCAGGTACTCTTGTTGATGAAATGTTCCTTCACCCCGCTGTAGTTTCCCACTACAGTCAATCCCTTTCTTATAGTATGATAATTGTTTGTCGTTCTTTTTGTTTTTGTTTTTAAAAAGCTCCAGCAAAGGAAAGAGGTGGTAACATATGAAACAAAATTAGTCAACTGTTGATAATCATTGGTATTCTGTGATGTGTATACAATGGCTCACGTTTGAGCCACTTCTGAGCATGTTTGAAAAAAATTTCATACCCAAAGACTTACCCCATCCTTAGCTTTCACCAAGAGATCATAGGTGGTTGGATCCCTTTCCCTGTCGATGTCTTGAGAAATACAGATTCGACCATCATGAGGGTCGATCCGGAACGCTCTAGGTGCTTCATAGCTTTGGAATCCATCATAAAGAGAGTACTCGACAAAGCCATAGAGTCCTGCATCTGCATCAGAGGCTTTTACCTATGAGACAGGAGAGCAATCAGTGAGAAAATAGAAATGCAAGCGTTACTTCTCAGTCAGTCATGACTTATAACAATGATTTGCACAACCAAATAACCCCCATAGCTATCCTCATAACATGGGCTTTGGTTTTACATCTCTGTCATCTCTTACCTTCTGTGACAACTCCCTGAGTTCTCCTTTTCAATCTCCTTTGTTTCCTCTCATGCTTTCAAGTGATCTCTGAGGTCCTTAGGGCTCAACCCTGGGTTCTTTTGCCTTTTTATTTTATTCATATACCTAAGAGATCGCTTTCAATCTCAAAGATTTAAAAACACCATGTGAGATGGAAAGCCCTCTGTTAAACCTGAACTGTCTTGGTGTGTAGAAAAAACAATGTGTTATTTAAAATCCCAGGAGAGCTGGGTTTGGTGGCTCAGCCTGTAATCCCACGCCTTTGGGAGGTTGAGGTGAGTGGATTGCCTGAGCCCGTGGGTTCGTGACCCGCCTCGGCAACTTAGCGAGACCTCATCTCTACAATAAATCAAAAATTAGCCGGGCGTGGTAGCGCGCACCTGTAGTTCCAGCTACTTGGAAGGCTGAGGCGGAAGGATCGCTGGAGCCCAGCAGGTCAAGGCTGTGGTGGCCGGGAGCAGCCACGGCACTCCAGTCTGGGCGACAGAGTGAGACTCCAACTCAAAGATAAATAAATAAATAAATAAAATAAAATAAAAATAAAATCCCAGGAGATTGTAGTGTCAAAATTCCTCTCTGGAAGAGATGAGTAGTTTGTGAAAAAAAGATAAGCTTCAGGGAAAGGCTTAGAAAGTATAGGAATGAGAGAAAAAACTAAACTCCCTTTATCAGGAAAACAAGAATTTAGAGCCCAGCAGCGCAGTGACTCAAGCCTGTAATTCCAGCACTTTGAGAGGCTGAGGTGGGGGAGGATTGCTTGAGGCCAGGAGTTCAAGACCAGCCTGTGTGACATAGTGAGACCCTATCTCTATAAAAAACACAAAAGTTTGAGCAGTGAGGTGGTGTGCACCAGTAGTCCTAGCTACTTGGGAGGTTGAGGAGGGAGGATCCCCTGAGCCCAAAAGTTCAAGGCTGCAGTGAGCTGCTATGATTATTGCACTCCAGCCTGAGCTACAGAGTGAGATCCTGTCTTTTAAAACACACACACACACACACACACACACACACACATACACAATCAAAATAACATCCATAGGGTTAAGGATTTGACAAATCTCTTGATTCTCTCTCATATATAGGCCTTCAAGTGATGGACTTGATGTGTGTGACCTGCCTCTGTGAGAGCCTCAGGGGAAGGACAAACAAAAAAGTCAGTAAATGGTACCATTACTAGAAATCCAGTCCCAGTAACAGAATTCACTCTGGAGTGTAAGAGCTGAGTCTCCCAGGTCAGCTTTCCTGCTGGGAGTAAAGCATCAGTCAGGGCCCTGCAAGGTCATACAGTATTCAGTTTGCTGGTGCCTGCAGGCGCATGAAGAATGAAATTCAGCCCATGCTCTACTTATCAAAACAATCACAAACACTGACATGCCCAGAAGAAAGGGCGTCTTTTCCTTTGCCTGTGAGTACCAAGTACATAGCAGCAGTCCTGTGCCCGGTAGCAAAGATGAAGTAGAATTATGAACGCATTTGACTTATTTATAGGAAATGTGGGAGTGCATATACGGTGAGAAACACAACAGGCTCTATAACACTCAAAAATTCTTGAGCTCATAGGCTCATTGTAAGCCTGTAATTTATAACTCAATTAATATTAACAAGTATCTACATAGTACTTACAATAAAAGAAGCTTTTTAAGAGAAGAAGAAAGGAAGGAAGGGAGGGAGGAAGAAAGGAGGGAGAGAGGGAGGAAGACAGGGAGGGAGGGGAAGAATTATATGCTACAGAACAGGTAATCTTCTAAGAGCTTAACATATTTTACACACTTGCAATCTATAGGTACTACTATTCATTTTATACATCAGAAAACTTAGGCTTAAAGAGTTTATGTAACTTGCCAAAGATCCCACAGCTAATGTGTCAACACTGGAATTCATATCCAGGCAGTTGGCAGCAGAGGGAAGGTTCTTAATCCCCATCATCTATGTACTGCCTCTTAAATCAGAAGCCTTGCCATTCCATCCTTTATCTGCTGAAAAAACACGCCCCAAATTCCTGATCTTCCTCCAGGGCATAATGTGCCAGATCACGTGGGGCACCACTCCAAGTAACCGTTTACCTCCTATGTATGTGGCTTTCTTACCATCATATCGTCCACATGAAGAAAGTCAGCAGGTGGTGATTCCTGTGCTTTCCAGTCTTAGACCAACCTTCTATTCTACATGATCAAATTCCAACTAGTTTCCAGAAAGCAGACATATAGATAAAGTGAGACAATTGGAAACAAGTAGATCAATACAGAAAGCCCACCCTCCAACTTATAGATGTCGCAAAAAAGAGAATAGAAAATAGAGAGAGAGAAAAAAAGGAGTAGCTGTTTTTTTTTGGCTCACAAGGACACATATTGGCAAGGCCCCAAAGTCACTATAATTGGGGAGGAAAGAGATGGAAGAGGTGTTCTGGCTTTTACTTCCTCAGCTAAGACTAAGGGCTAAGACTGGAGAATACAGGCTAGTGTACTAGTTGCCTTTTTTCATGCTGCTGATATTATGGTATGAAAGCCAGCAGCTAAGCTCCACTCACATTTTCCTGGACAGAACAAGTTTTGTGTCCCCAATTTAACTGCAAGGGATTCTGGGAAAGGAAGTGGATCATAAGAATATGTTGTGAATACAAATTGTCTCTGCCATATATGCCATTCAGTCTATAATATATGAATATGAAGACAAGTTTATAAGACTATATAGGTGTCCAAACTACTCCTAGATGTAGTGAAATTTAAATGAGTGGATATTTATGCCAAGAAATGGCTCCCCAATGCCATTTTAAACTAAAACAGGTTTAGTTTTGGAGAATAACTCTGGCAGTCCTGCATTTTTCTATAAGGGTTTTTTTTGGAGGGAAGCAAAACAAAAGGCAATTTTGTCACCTACTTTACTAGTGCTCCTATTATACTCACTTAACTCTAGATTGGGGAGGAAAAAGAATAGACTTTTCCTCAATACAATGCACATGCAGGAGCTACACCTTAATTATAGTGCTTCCCAATGGGATTCCATTGGCTTCATTGAGAACAATTAAAGTTCTTAATAAGCCTGCCCTCTCATCTCATTCTATTTTTAACATATAACTAGAATGTGACTTTTGAAGCTATTTGTGTCACCTAGCTCAGTGGTTCTCAATCAGGAACAAGTTTGCCCCCCAAAAGACATTTGGCAATGCCTAGAGACATTTTTGGCTATTGAAACTGGGAAAGAGGTTCTAGTAAGTTGAAGTAAGAGATGCTGCTAAACTCCCCACCAAGTACAGGAAAAAGTTCTACAATGAAGAATTATCTGGCCCAAATTGTCAGTAGTGCCTAGGCTAAGAACCCCTGGGCCCGATGAAACTCTTACCAATTGGCAGTATTATTTTCCCTCTTTAATTGTCTATTGTTTTCAACTGATGATACAGCCTTTTAAATTTATCTTCATTCTTATCTCTCTCATATTCTTTGGCAAAATGATTCATCCTGTGAAGCCCGCTAACATATTTGTGAGATATTCTTCTCATCGGATGTACTGAAGTAGGAAATCCACAAATTTCCTCATGACAAAGACTAAACTCCAAATATATTTGGTCTACTTCTTTCTGACAGCTGTTAAGAATTTAGTAGCCTCAAGTTCCCAGCAACACCAAATATATCTTCTAAAACCATATGGTATTCTCAATAGCTTGGGCTTGATTGGAAGACGCATACAATGAACTTTAAATTCTAAAATTTATGCTCAGCCTTTAATAGCATATATTAACAAGTGATTCCGCTTATATAAAACAAGTTTCCTCATTTCCACTTTCAAGACCTTTTTCTCATCTGGACTTTTGGCACAGTAAAATGTAAGAAGTCAAAAGTGGGATTTTGTACTGATCTCAATTTATGTTAGCAGTTCATATTCTGGGTTTCAGAATCATAAAATAAGAATGCATTTCTTCCTGTTTTTACCAAAGTCCCTAAAAACAAAGGCTATTATTCCCTAACAACATATTCCCCCTACTAATATTGGGTCTTGAATGCCTAGAATGAATTTGGTATCTTTATGAGATTTATATTTTCCAATATAAATTGACTGACACATAAAATTTAGACAATATGAATAATAGAAAGTGGAAAAGACTTTATCAAAGCTTTGAGAGGAAATCTTGATTAGTAAATATGCTCAGAGGCCCCTTCTCCAGAGAGAGTTCTTTAAATCAAAGCAGGAAGCACCTGGCCAAACTCTATTATCACAATCTGGTGGTGCTGATAGGTATTGAGAGGAGTTCTCAGAGGATTTTATTTCTGCATCTATTCATAAGCCACATTACAGCCTCTCAGTGCCACCCCTGTGCTTCTCATCTCGATCTCAGTTTACCTGTTTTAGACAGAGACGTTTCCGATGACTCTTAATTTAAACTTATTCATACTCAGAATTGACCTCCTTGAATCTGATATTTCACAAGTTTCATGGAGACATCATAAAAATGCAAAATATCAATATGATACTAAGTTCTCTCTGATTCCATTATTGGTTTTCTGAGAAAGGATTTTTATCACTTCTCTCATATTAATTAATCCGTTTCCTCCAGGTAAGGATTCCTCCTGATAAATGTGTCACAGACACAGGAGACAAATTGCAAACACTGGCCCTTTGAAGGTAGGTTTCCACATTTCTTGGGTGTTCTACAAATAGAAAGGATCTGCTTGCATTCCCCTCATCAGAATAGCCACCTTCTAGGTGGGAAGCATTCCTCCCTCTTCAACATCACCAGTCAGTCTTGTGGCAGGTCACCTGCCCAGCCATTCATACCTATTAGCTAGGCCCAAGCCAAAAAGGTATGGGGTGACACTGTAGGCCACATTTCCTCTATCTACTCCTAAGCATCCTAAGCAATCACATACTTAGTAAACTTTAAAAAAAAATTAAAAAGAAAGAAAATCCTCAGCGTTCAATACACATTTTTTTCATACTACAATTTCCAATATTTCTATCATTAGCCTATGACTTTTTTTTAAAGAAACAAAGCTTAGCCGGGCTCGGTGGCTCAGCCTGTAATCCCGTGCCTTTGGGAGGCTGAGGTGAGCGGATTGCCTGAGCCCGCGGGTTTGAGACCCGCCCGGGCAGGCGAAACCTCATCTCTACAATAAAATCAAAAAAGAAGCCGGGCGTGGTAGCGCGCGCCTGTAGTTCCAGCTACTTGGAAGGCTGAGGTGGAAGGATCGCTGAAGCCCAGCAGGTCGAGGCTACGGTGGCCGGGAGCGGCCACTGCACTCCAGTCTGGGCAACACAGTGAGACTCCAACTCAAAAAAAAAAAAGAAAGAAACAAAGCTAGCCAGGCACAGTGACTCACGCCTGTAATCACAGCTCTTTGGAAAGTGGGGATGAGAGGATTGCCTGAGCCCAGGGGTTCTAGACCAGCCTGGGAAACTTGGTGAGACCTCATCTCTACAATAAATCAAAAAATTAGCCAGCAGTGGTGGTGCATGCTTATAGTTCCAGACACTTGGAAGGCTGAGGTGGAAGGATCGCCTGAGTCTAGCAAGTCGAGGCTGCAGTGGCCGTGAGCAGCGTGCCACTACACTCCAGCCTGGGTGACAGTGAGACTCTGACTCAAAAAAAAAAAGAAAAAGAAAAACAAACAAAGCTATTGACAAAACACACACATAGAACTTTAAATAGGAGAGAAAAATAAATAAATCACGAAACAACATTTTAAATTTGAAGCACTTGGCCAACCACTGATCCTGCAGCAAAAACAGAATCATAATATTTGAGTGGAAGTTAGATTCAACATTGAAGACAACATGGATTTAAGGTGAACACTTCTAGCAAGTTCACTGAGTACCCAAGTGCAATGATCAGTGATGGGTCCTTCTTTTCTGAATCATCTAGAGGCCTTTACACAGCTATCAGCTCCTCCTTACTGAAACATGCCTCTCACCAGCACCACACTCTGCCTCCTCTCCTTGTCCTCCCCTTCATCTACCTCCCTTCAGCTTCCTTCACTGACTCCATGCTCTCTTTGTGGCCTCCACACACCATAGCACCTCAGAGCTCAATCTTGGGTGCTCCTCTCTTCAATCCATGCTGATTGCCTGTAGGGGGTTGAATGGTGGCCCCCAAAATGTATGTCTATGTCCTAAGCCCTAAAACCTGTGAATATTACCTTATGTGATAAGAGTGACAATGACCTTATGTGGCAAAACACATGACTAAATGAAGAATTTTGAGAGGAAAAGCTTGTCCTAGATTATCTAGGTGGGCCCCAAATCCAACAAAAAGTGTCTTCATTAGAAAAGCAGAGGGAGATCTGACAGAAAAGGAGGCGGCGATGTGACCACAGAGACAGAGATGGAGGTGATGTGACTACAAGTCAAGAAGCACTGATAGTCTCCAGAAGCTGGAAGAGATAAAGAATGAATTCTCTCCTAGAATCCCCACAGAGAGCAAGGCCTTGCTGCGTTTTGGACTTGTAATGTACAGAACTGTGAGAAACAATAATGTCTGTTGTTTTAAGCCACCAAGTTCTTAGTAATTTGTTACAGTGACCCTGGAAAACCCATGCACACTCTGAGTGATCTGACCAGCCCATGGCACTACACCAACCTCTCTGCTGATGATTCTCAATTCTGTGTCTACATTCTGTGCTCTAGACTCATGCAGCATCCGACTGAAAACTCACAAAGACGAATTGGCATCTCAAAAGTACCCAGCTCAAAGGGAACTCCTGACTCCCATCACCACTCCACCCCAAAACCTGCTGTCCTCATCATCTTTTTAGCGAATGGTACCACTGTTCACATTTTGTTACAGCAGCCAGAGAAATACTGTTAAAACACACCAAGTCATATCACTCTCCTGCTCAGAATTTTCAAGTGCCTTCCCATCAAACCCAGTAAAATCTAGCTCTTTAATCTGGCTACTTCTCTGATCTCAACCCCCACTATCCTCTGACTTTCTCACTTCCCTCTGGACACCCTGATGTCTTTGAGGGTCCTGAAATGTATCAACTTGTTCCCACCTTAGCGCACCTCTCTGCCTGCAAGGCCTTTCCCCCAGACTTTAGTATAACGTGCTTCCTCGTTTCCTTCACGTTTCTGTACAATACCACCTAATTGCACAGGTCATGCATGATAGCCTAGCCAAGAGTGTCACCCTCACCTCTGCCTCATGCTTTCTTTTTACCTTGCCTTGCTTTCCTGCAGAGCACTTATCTCCACTTCGTGCTGCATCTTATATTTTTATTTACTTTATTTACTGTTATTGATAAAACACAACTTCTCCATGGGAATTTAAGCTTTAGAGCAAGTATTAGTCTCATCTTGCTGTGTCTCCAACACCCACAGCTCTGGCGCCAGGCTCGTAGAGGGGTGCAAGAGATGTTTGTTGTATGAATGAATGAATGAATTGGATATTGCACATAAGATGCAAGCAGGTTTGAGAAATAATCTCCATGATTCTTCTCTCTATTTGACCTTTAGCAGAAACACACAAGAAGATGGTTCAGAACACTTATCAAACATTCATTGAGGAGTAACTTTTTTTACTCCTAAAACACAATGGATTAACCAAGTTATATCATCATAGAATGAGACTCATAATACTTATTCAAAGCCACCAAAATGCTACAACTAAAATCAGCTAGGCAAAAAAAAAAAAAAAGAAAGAAAGAAAGAAAAAGCTTTCTCAAGGCAAATGGAGCTATTAAGATGTTGAAAACAGAGCTGTGTTTTAGTTTGATCTTTTAAAATGTATTTTCAGGAAAGCTATTTGCTGAATAGGTTGAATATATATTCTGAAACTCCAGTCAAAAATTGTTATAATAATACAATTTTATTTCCTTAATTGAAGAATGAGATTAAGAAACCACTAGTCCTACTACTTAACTATTTCCTCACTTCCCACCCCCCAAAAAGCAGTCCAAGGAAATTTTGTGAAAGAATACCAAGGGGAAGGGGGGCATTAGAGGTGGAAAGTAACTTGTGCTATGAAGTGTTACAAGGTAAGCAATTAAAATAGTGTGAACTAAAAGAAGAATTGGCAGACAGATCAATAGAACAAAAAAGTAAGACTTGAAACAGATCCTGGTCAAACCAAATATATTTTTGTTAAAAAGGAAACCACCGAAGAACGTGGGTTTATCCACATAAGTTGCTAGAAAAATTGGCAACGTTCATGAGGAAAAAAATCAAGTTTCATATTAACTTCACACCAAAATAAATTCTACACCAATATGTCAAATGTAAATAATGAAATCATTTAAAGCACAAGGACTATATAAGGGAATATTTGACTGATCCTTATATTGAAAAGAAATTTCAAAGCAAAAAGGAATTTCAAAATTAAAACAGAAGAAAAATCACAAATGAAAAAGTCAATATGTTGACTACATAAACATTTAAATTTCATTATTCAAAAACATCATGTACAAAAAATTTAAAGCTAAATTACATATATCTTCAACAAATATATATTAAAAAGTTAATACCCTTAATATAGAAGGAGGCCTTTAAAAATAAAAATAGCACTGATTGCCCAATTTAAAAAATAGCCAAAGGACATGAACAAACAATTCACAGAAAAAATAAATATATTTAAGAAATTCAACTTCAGTAGTAATCAAATAAATAAATAATGATAATATGTTTGCCTTGCAAATTGGCAATCATTAACATAATGTATGCAGTGGTGGAAAAGATGCATTAAGTGTATACTCATTTTACAGTCTATTTAGAAAGAAACTTTGTTTTTCCCATAGGAAGGGTGACCCCAAAAAAACCAGAATTATTTTTTGGAGGGTGGGTCCCCTGTAGTACAGGTTTCTTAGCTAGGTAAGTGATCTAGGAGTTCATCAGCATCGGTGTATAGGCTAGCATTGTTGTGAGAGGCTGTGGTCAGCCTCAGTGAAATTTTTTTTTTTTTTGGAAATACTTTCAATACATTTGCCCATTTCATGATGGGTGATTTACATGTCCACACCATGCTATGTATTGAGAATTTTTTGACCCAAAACAGCATGACTCCTGTGTTCTACCCTTCCTATTCACCTGATCTTGCCTCAAGAAACTTTTTGTTTGTTTGTTTCCCTGGATGAAAAAAGTCCTCTAAGGGAAACATTTGATGTGGAAGAGGTGAAGCAAAAAATGGCAGAAGCACTAAAAGGCATCAAAATTGATGCATTCCAAAACAGTTTTGAGCAGTGGAAAAAGCATCTTGATAGGTGTACTGCAATAAATGGAGAGTACTTTGGAGATGACTGAAGTTTAAACATATAAATATTAATAAAAAAATTTTTGTAAGTTAATTCTGAGTTGAGTCCCCCTTCATAGATACGTTAAACATTCTACTACACCTAAAAATATTCATCTCCTTGAACTTAGCACTTTTCTAGGAATATATGTAGAAATATATTTGTATGAAAGACATTATTTTTTCTAGAACCCAAATGTCCAACAATAAAATTGTTGTTAAATAAATTATAATTCATCCATAAGTTAGAATTCAATGTAGCTGTGACAACTGGGTGACAGAGTGAGACTCCAACTCAAAAAAAAAAAAAAACCAAAACTTTAAAGACAATAAAATGTCCACAATATTGTGTTCAGTAAAAAAAAAAAAAGCCAACTAAAAAAATATATAAAATCCTATTTACGAAAAAAAAAATCTAGTGTAAAGAATAAAAACTGCAAGGAAATAAGCCAAAGGTTAAGTGGTTTAATGTAGGGAATAACTGATTTTTTTAAATGTTTTTATTCATTTGGTTTTTTTTCAAATTTTCAAAAATAAAGGTAATTCATGGACACATTATTCTAAAAAAGAAGCTGAGCATCAAGATATACTAAGCCAGCCGGGCTCGGTGGCTCAGCCTGTAATCCCACGTCTTTGGGAGGCTGAGGTGAGTGGATTGCCTGAGCCCGCGGGTTCGAGACCTGCCTGGGCAGCGAGACCTCATCTCTACAATAAATCAAAAAATCAGCCGGGCGAGGTAGCACATGCCTGTAATTCCGGCTACTTGGAAGGTTGAGGTGGAAGGATCGCCGGAGCCTAGCAGTCGAGGCTGCAGTGGCCAGGAGCAGCCACTGCACTCCAGTCTGAGCGACAGAGTGAGACTCCAACAAAAAAAAAAAAAAAAAAAAAAAAAAAAAAGATATACTAAGCCTAAAAACAAATTATATTTGATAGGCATTTGCCATCTGTCTAGTCAGCTATTTTGAATGCATTTTCATAGTATCCCATTCTTAAACAGCTACCACCTTGCAGATGTGTAGGGGTCACAGGGCTGGCAGCATTAGTGATTTCTAAAGCAGGGGTGAGCAAACTTGTTCTATAAAGAGCCAGGCAGTAAATATTTTAGACGCTACAGGGCATACAGCTCTGTTGTAACTGTATTCAACTCTGCCATTTTAGCATTAAAAAGCCATAGATAATAAGTGAATGAATAAATAGTTCCAATACAATTTTATCTATGAGTACCAAAATTTGAATTTCATGTGATTTTTCACCTGTCATGAAATATCTCCCTCTTTCTCCATTTCAACTGTTTAAAAATGAAAAACCCATCTTAGCTCACAGGTGGTACAAAAACAGGCAGCAGGCTGGATCTGGCCCAACTGCGATGGTTTGCCAACCCCTGAAGCATAAGAATAAGTCTTTAGAAAAACAGAGTCAGCTCTTTAGGCCCAAGAATAAATTCTGAAATGACTAAGTCCAGTGCATATGAGGGCTCGTTTGAGATCCTGTATCTGAGGTGAACAAGTTTAATCTCCACTCATTGCTGTGTCTGTTCTACTCCTATAGTAAATATAAAAGCTATATTACTTAAGAAAAAAGAAAAAAAGGACTTAAAATATTTGATTTCAGGCCCCAGCCAAAATGCTTTCACTGGGCTGAATTTTTATATCATGACTTTATATTTTACTAAAGTTTTATTTTAATAATGTTTGTCATTGGACAAGCTAAAACCGAAAACATTATCTATTACATGATCCAATTGTTAAGATCCTTTTAACTTTAAATTTACCCCCGCACACATAAATCAAACAAAACAAAACAAAAGTTCCAATGTACCTATGCTAAAA